CATAGTGGGATCATTCTCCCTCCCCCCATCCTCTTCTGCATAGAGCTCTACACAAACACAAACACATTTATCCCAACGTTCAGGTTCTCTCTTACCCTGCCCCACCCACCACCAAGACCTACAGAGAAGAGGCAGGTTGTCCCTCCACCGCCCGCCCCCTGAGGTGTGGGCGTGGGCTGGGCCTCCAGGCTGCCAGAGGCCCCGAGAGAAGCAGAGAAGCGCTCAGATCTACACCGTCCTGCTGAGAGCCTTAGGTGGCCCCTGCCAGTCTGGCAGGCACCCCTGGCCCCTCTGCCCAGCACCACCGACGTCTGAGGCCCTGCGATGCCCACGCCCAACACCTCTGTGCCCCCGCCTGCTTTCTGGGTCAACACCTCTGGAGGCAGGGTGCTGAGTGCTGATGAAGCTATGATGCCTGTTGGATTCCTAGCCCTGAGGGTTGCCCTGGCCTTTGGGCTCGTGGGGGACATCGGCTTGCTGGGAAATTTGGCCGGACTCTGGGTTCTGGGTAACTGCGCTCGGCGAGCCCCCTGCCCACCTTCTGACACTTTTGTCTTTAAACTAGCTTTGGCAGACCTGGGGCTGGCACTCACTCTCCCCTTCTAGGCAGCCGAGTCGGCACTGGACTTCCACTGGCCCTTCAGAGGTGCCCTCTGCAAGATGGTCCTGACAGCCACCGTCCTCAACATCTACACCAGCATCTTCTTCATCACGGCGCCGAGTGTTGCCCGACACTGGGTGGTGGCCATGGCTGCAGGACCCGGCACCCACCTTTCGCTCTTCTGGGCCCATGTGGCCACCCTGGCCGTGTGGGTGGCAGCTGCCCTGGTGACGGTGCCCACGGCTGTCTTTGGGGCCAAGGGCGAGGTGACTGGCATGCATCTGTGCCTGCTGCGCTTCCCCAGCAGGTATCGGCTAGGGGCCTACCAGCTGCAGAGGGTGGTCCTGGCCTTTATGGTGCCGCTGGGCATCATCACCACCAGCTAGCTGCTGTTGCCGGCCTTCCTGTGGCGGCGGCAACGGCAGGACAGCAGAGTCGTGGCCTGCTCCACTCACATCCTCTGGCCTCCTTCTTCCTCTGCTGGTTCCCCAACCACGTGGTCCCTCTTTGGGGTGTCCCGGTGAAGTCTGACCTGGTGCCCTGGGACAGCACTTTCTACACCATCCATACCTATGTCTTCCGCATCACCACCTGCCTGGCACACAGCAACAGCTGCCTCAACCCCATGCTGTACCGCTTCCTAAGGCGGGAGCCCCGGTAGGCCCTGGCAGACACCTTCAGGGATCTGTGAGCGAGGCTGTGGCCCCAGGGCCGGGGCTGGGTAGAACAGGTGGCCCGAAAGGAGGTGGGCAGGCAGTGGATGGAGAGCACCCCTTGGGAGGGTGGCCCTTCTACCAGGCTTACCAACCTGGACAAAGGGACACCTGGGTGAAGGGGGCAAGGCAAACCCCCTCCTCTTTGTGGGGATCCACGCATCCTAGGGAGAGAGAGGTTGGCCTCTCTGCCACGATGCAACACCCTCAGGGAAAGTCTGATCTTTGATCCCCAGCTCTGGCTATGGGGGAACAGGGAGGCTGGGACCCAGGTCAGGGCTGGGTATGACCAAGTGGAAGTCTCCACATGGAGATGGGAATGATGAGTATCTGAGAATAAACCTCTGGAGCATACACAAAGTGTCTGCACCTTCCACCTCAGTTCCACCTCCAGGTCAAGGTGGCCAAAAGGATTCTTTGCCCCATTTCTGCCTTCTGTGAGAATTCCCAGGAAAATTTCCCTAGGAGTTCTAGACTAATTGGGTCATAGGTCAATGCCTATCTCTCTCTATCCCCTCCACGCTCCCTCCCTCACCTCAAATGGGGGTGTACCCTTGTCCTTCTCTGGTGCTGGGGCCAAATATGCCCTTCTCCTCTGGCCACCTCTACCTTCTTACCATCTCATTAGTGTCTACAGAAACTTGGTGCCCACAGACACCTCAGCAGCAAAAGCTGTAGTTCTCCCTGCTGTGTGTGGGGTCTTGCTGGATCCCTGGCTCCAGCCAAGCCCAGAGCGCAAACCCCTGTTTCTGGCTGGGAGTACGCATGTGTCTCTCCTTAAATCAGGATTTGGAGGGAGAAGTGAGGATAAGGACAAGCCAAGGATGTGTGTGGGGCACAGGCAGGCAAGAGAAGCGGAAAGGGGTTGGGAGAAGAGGAGGCTGAGTGTGCAGCTAGAGGAGTGCGAACCACAGAATATGGCGCTACTCCCTCCTCCCCTAAGGGCTTAGCTCCGAGCATCAACTCAGGTGTCAGAACACCTGGATTCACATCCTAGGTCTGACACTAACCAGCTGAGGGACCTTGGTAAGTTACTTTACTTCTCTGTACCTGTTTTCTCAATTTAAAATGGGCTGTTAAGGATTTAACAGTGCCTGAAATAGTTTTAGCTATTTTTCTTACAGCCCATGTAAAATGGAGACAGAAGAAAAAAGGAAGAAATAAGGGGGCAACTGGGAGACAGGGACAAGGAGCCATAAAGGTCTTGTCTGGAATTTTTACATGCTCTGGAGTGAAAGTTTTACATAAGGAACTGAATGAGGGGTTGGCCCCTCAGGCCCCTCTTGAAGGTGTGCACTCCAGGGCAGGGGGGTTCCCTTTGGTTTCTGTATCCATAGATACCCAGCAATGATAAATGCTAGCCATCAGAAGGGACTTTGCGGGGGGAGCCCCTGGGAAGGAGGGAGGTGGCAGAGGGAAAACGGGGTGGAGCTCCCACTGCCACTGCCCCACCCCAAGGTCTGACATGTCTTGAACCCAGCTGGGCACCGTGCCTCCTGAGTGGGTGGAGCCCCCTCTGGAGGGGGGCATCGCCTGCACCAGCTCCATCCAGTTGCTGAACAGGAGAGGCTCTAAAGAGCTGCCTAATTCACACCATATTAAGCAATGCTAAAGAGATTTAATTAGCCTCTTGATGTTTAATTTCCTTTCTTTGATAATGTTTAAACAGTTCCAAAATCCACATCTATTCCCAGCCAATTCAGGATGGAAACTCCTCCACCACTCAAGTGCCCCTCTTCCCACCCCCTGCAGCTCCTCTGATGGCCCTGCTGGGGCTCGGGATATTGGCTCCTCTGGGGGCATCGCTGCTTTATGGGCTTTATGGGACCCGGAGGTAAATATTGACAAAGTTTAAACAGGTCCAAGTCAGAGGTGAATGAATGCATGCAGACGCACCCTTTGGGATGGGAGAGGGAGGGGAGGGTGCAATGGAAAAGAGGCATTGCTGTGGCAAGAAGCTGGGCCCTGGCTCCCTGGAGCTCAAGCCAGAGAGCTGTGAAACTGCCAACAGGGTAGACAGAGAGTAAGACTGAGTTTCCAAAAATGGGAATAGAGAGGGGACAACGGACAGAATGGGAAAGACGTGAGAGAGGGACTAATCTCAGAGGAACTACCATGTCAGAGAAATGTGTGTCTTGTTTTGGGATCAAGGATGAGGAGGGGGTTTCAGTCCAGGGGTGGCAGGAGGGACAGAGCAGCTCTCCTGTGAGCTGTGGGCTGCTCAGAACCCACGCTCTGGGCTCTGCGTCCCCAGGTTTCCATTACCCTCTTGACCAGCATCCTTCACTGGATCTGTAAGAACGCTGGAGGAGCCTGCATTCCCTTTCCTGGTGGTCTTTGGATGCTAACATCCCCCTGCTCTGCCTTTACAGCTTTGGGTCCCAGCTGCTTCCCGCTGACGTGGCAGACAGCTGCTGAGCCATGGGCCATCGTGTTGGAAACTTTGGAGCTCTGGTGTTTTTCAGCAGAGTAGCCGAGGAGGGGAAGTGGAGGACTGCAGCTAGGAGGGCTGGCCCTTTCCTGGCTCCTCTGCTGGGCTGGCAACCCTCTGCACCCAGGTTTCCCTGTCTATGAAATGAGAACAATTCCTACCTCACAGATTCCATTATCGATGAGAAGGCACCTTGTCAAGGCCAGATGCTGATGGATGAGAATGACAGGAGTGGAGGGTGCTGGCTGCTCCCCCAAGACTGTCCCCCACCCCAGGTAATTTCAGTTCCTCTTTCTAGCTGAGGTCATGAGCCCCATCCTTCCCATCTTACCCCATGGGCTCCAACAGAGGTCTGTGCACTGTGCCAGCATTTATACAACTCTAGACTCTCTCACCCCTCCCCCTACAGCCCCAGAGCAGGGTATTAACCAGAAACAGGAAGCAAAAAATTAACCAAAACCAAGAACTGAAACCTACTTAATCTCTCACTGCCTCTCAAAATGGCAAAGAGCAAATGAGCAGCTCCTATGAGGGAAACCACCTTAAAAAGGTTAAACCAGGGCTCTGGCACTGTGAAGAACAAGGGCAGAGTGAGGGCTGAACCTGAAAATGAATGACTCTGGGGAGAGGCTAACAGGAACTGTGATGAAAGGGAGGGAAGGAGGCAAGAGGCTGATGCAATTCCTGAGCATGGCATGCAAATGAGATGAAAACAAGTTTTTTAATGTTGGAACCTCCAACAGCCACTGGAACCTAAGTGTCCCTTCATTATTATCCTTGTATGTGTGAGGGTCAAAGATGACAGCAAAAAAAGGTTGGCAGCAGTTTCTTTTGTTAGCGCCCCCTGTCTTCAGGGAGGCAGTCACCCTTCCTGGGAGAGGAAGAGGCCCCTTTTGGAGGAACACACATCATTGCCTGGCTCTCCCCCTCACCAGCACCCTCAGAACTGGCAGACATTAACAGACAGTACTTCCTGGGGTTCCAGGACTTTAATTTTCCCTGTTTTATCTTTTTTTTTTTTTTCTTTTCTTTCTTTCTTTTTTTTTTTTTTTTTAA